TTGAGGGATTTTGGGGGAATTTCGGGGGGATTTGGGGGGAATTTGGAGAATTTTAGGAGATTTGGGGAGGATTTCAGGAGATTTGGGTGATTCTGGGAACATTTTGGGGGAATTTCTGGGGATTTGGGGGCGTTGGGGAAGGTTTAGTGTGAATTTGAGGGAATTTGGGGCGATTTTGGGCGATTTTGGGGTCCCTGAGTGATTTTTGGGCCAGAATTTGGGGTTTTTGGGGGTCCCTTTCTCCTCATCCCCAATTTCCCCCCCCAGGTGCCCGCGGGACCTTCGGGGCCGGGACCTCCGAGGAGGTGAGACCCCCCCCCAAAATTTCAATGTCCCCCCTTTTTTTGGGGGGATTCCTTCAATTTTTGGGGTCCCCCTCTTATTTTTGTTATTTTTTCCCTTTTTTGGGGCATTTCCCACCCGTTTTTTTGCCGTTTTTTTCTCTTTTTTTGGGGTTTTTTTCCTCGTTTTTGGGATTTTTTTTGGGGGGGAGTCTGGGGGTGCCCCCCCCCGGATTTGGGGGTCCCTCCATGACTCCCCCTCCCCAAATTTGGGGTTTCCCAGGAGGCTGAGCAGGTGCTGAGCGCCGCCTACGAATTGGGGGTGACGCTTTTCGACGCGGCCGAAGCCTCGGCCAGGTACGGGGGGGGGACCCCAAAATCCTCCCCGGACCCCCAAAAACCTCCCTGGACCCCCAAAATGCCCCCCCAAAAAATCCTGACCCCAAAAACCCCCAAAAATTCCAATTTTGGCTTCAAAATCCCTCAAAAAATCCAATATTCACCCCCTAAAAACGCAGCTCTGACCCCAAAAATCCCCAAAATTCCCCCAAAAATCTTCCCCTCCCAAAAAAACCCCCACCCCAAAAAGGTGAAAAATCCAAATCCTGGGTCCAAAAATGCTGCAAAAATCTAAAAACTGACCCCAAAAAAGCCCCAATTTCCTCTGTCAGACCCCAAAAAATCATAAAAAAATTCAATGCTGATTTCAAAATTTAAAGAAAATCTCTAAAATCCACCCAAAATTGCCACAAAACCCCAAAAATCACCAAAAATCACCCCAAAATTACAAAAAAATCCCCCAAAATCCCCAAAAATCTCCCCGAAATTACCAAAAAACCCCAAAAATCCCAAAAAACCCCAAATTATCAAAAACTCCTAAAAAACACCAAAAATCCCCTCAAAATTACAAAAAAACCCCCAAAATCAACAAAAACCCCCAAAATTACCAAAACCGTCCAAAAATCACCAAAAATCCGCCCCAAGTTACCAAAAACCCCCAAAAATCACTAAAAATCTACCCAGAATTACTAAAAAAACCCAAAAAATCACCAAAAATCCCCCCAAAAACTACAAAAAAATCCCCAAAAATCCCCAAAAATCCCCCCAAAAATTACAAAAAAAACCCAAAAATCACCAAAATTCACCAAAACCCCCCCAAAATTACCAAAAACTCCTAAAAATCACCAAAAATCCTCCTCAAATTAACAAAAAACCCCGAAAATCACCAAAAATCCCCCCAAAAATTACAAAAAAATCACCAAAAATCACCAAAAAAAACCCCTAAATTACCAAAACCCCCCAAAAATCACCAAAAATCCCCCCAAAATTACTGAAAACCCCCAAAAATCTCCCCCAAAAATTCACCAAAATCCTCCTCAAAAAATCACCAGAAAAACCCAAAGAGTCACAAAAATTCCCCAAAACCTCCCCAAAATCACAAAAAAACCCCCAAAAAAACCACCAAAAACTCCTCCAAAATCACAAAAATCCCCAATCCCGGCCCCAAATTCTCCCCCCAAGAAATATCCAGACCCAAAAATTCCCCAAAAAACCAAAATTCCTCCCCAAAAAACCCCAAAATCGCCCAAATTTGCCCCAAATTCCTGCAGGGTGGAGAAGATGCTCGGGAGGATCCTGAGGAGCAAAGGATGGAGGTGGGGGAGGGGCGGGCTGGGATTCTGGGGGG